TTGTGTTCTGTAATGTTCTTTATTCAGAATGGAAGGTTAAATAACTTTATAATAATAAAAAAAAAACGGACTTTACTTAATGATGCATTTGCATTTCATGAATTATATGTTTTCATTTGGCCCGCAGCTCTGAAAGAATTTAAATTTGGCCCTTTCAAGGAAAACGTTTGGGCACCCCTGGTGAAAGGGAAAGTTTACGAGATGATGGAAACAGGCAGACACAAAGAGTTGCTGGAAGAGGCAGAGGTAAAGATGAAGATTTTCATTGGGTGTGACCAAAATGGACGGGATTAAAAAATGATTACATCAGAGTGATGGGTCAGGAGCAATTTAGACAAAGTTAAAGATGCTGAGGTGGTTTGGACGTGTGCAGAGGAGGGACAGGGGACGTTATGGGCAAAGGATGCTGAATTTGGAGCTGCCAGGGCAGAAGGAGCAGCTGAAAGACGACTATCCAAACAGGAGGAGACCACTGAAAGACATAATCCTAATCCTTTAGCTGCTCATGTTTGATTTAGTCTCGTTAAAGCTGTTTTGCATTTTTTATTTTGCTTTCATTCGTCTTGCAGCCGGTGAACGTTCTCCAGAACGACCCAGCACTAGAGGGCAGCCACAACACACCATGTCTCTGCTTCTGATCCACTTCTGAACCATCTGGAAAATAATAAATGGTGGTTTTAGGAGCAGTATAAGAATAATGGGGATTTATTCCACAAACTTCAGGCGTTTCTATTAATAGAAACTTATCGTGGATGTGTACCCAAAGTGGAGTGAAATCCTTCCTGGTTCATTATGGGATTTATCACACTATGTTTTGTGTCTCTTTGAAAAGAAATGTTTGATTCTTCCCATTCTGCCTTTTCTCGTCCACGATAATGAGCGTAGAGTTCCTATACTTCCTGAAAAGCCCATTTAAATTGAAAGTTGAGCGTGAGAAGTCCCGTTAACAAGGCTGCAGCTTGTTTACAGACTTTAAAAGGTGGTAAACAAATAAAGCTTCCCCACTAAATTACAAACAGAAGCACACACACACAAACACTCTCAAAAAGAGTCGTCACTCCCCAGAGCGTTCCACTTGTACCCCTCCTGTCCGACTGCTCTGCTTCTCCTTTCACCCCCAGATGGAAAAGATTGAATTAAAGGAGGGGGGGGAAATAAAAGGACTTCAAGACTGGATCTCACTTTCATATTCAAATGAATATTTCAAAAGCTTTATCATCAAATGCTTTTCAACAAAGTGCTCCTCACTAAGGATCCGTGATGTTGTGGAAAAGTAAATGGGATTTTGAAATTCACCAGCTTTCATGCCGTCGTTACGCCGTGAGGACGAAGAAACTCTTACGAGCAACAGAAAACTGCCCGAGTCTGCAGCAAAAGGAGTTTTAAAGATGTCGGAACAAGTGTTTGACTTTAAATCTCCTCTCACTTATACTAGATCTTCAATGCCAAGTGGAAAAAGTGTAATAGTAACGTTTTCTCTTGAGAATCTGCCTCATTTGAGCGAAGAATCCAAAGCATGCAAGTGTAATTAGGCATCGTGGCCTCATGCATAATGTAGCGTCTAACTGAATACCTGATAAATAAATAGCGTGGGTGTGTAGGCGGATGCGTTTGTCATGCCACAAACAATCCATCCAGTAAAAGCCTGCTAATTTGCCTCCATGTGGAGGCAGAAGAATCCCCTCCCACCCACTGCAAACTGAACCTTGACCTTTGGCTCGGGAGGAGTTGGAGAAACAAAACAAGACAGACTTTTTATTTTTTAAAGACTACAGCAATCTGACTGACAACTGCAGGTCAGCGAGAGGGGGGAGGTTGTCCCACGCATGGTCACACAGAAGACACTGTCGGGTCGCCACCTTCGTTTCCAGCCTGGGAAAAATGACAGGAGACACGCCGAGGCCACCTTTTGTCAAAGGGGAAGAATAAGAGAAACCAATAAATCCACTGACAGCATCACCTGAAGAGGAATCACGGCTGGATGTACAGGTGCTGGTCATAAAATTAGAATATCAAGAAAAAGTTGATTTCAGTAATTCCATTCAAAAAGTAAAACTTGTATATTATATTCATTCATTACACACAGACTGATATTTCAAATATATATTTCTTTTAATGTTGATGATTATAACTGACAACTAATGAAAACCCCAAATTCAGTATCAGAAAAATGTAAAATATTATGAAAAGGTTCAATATTGAAGACACCTGGTGCCACACTCTAATCAGATCATTAACTCAATATACCTGCAAAGGCCTTTAAATGGTCTCAGTCTAGTTCTGTAGGCTACACAATCAAGGGGAAGACTGCTGACTTGACAGTTGTCCAAAGGACGACCATTGACTCCTTGCACAAGGAGGGCAAGACACAAAAGGTCATCGCTAAAGAGGCTGGCTGTTCACAGAGCTCTGTGTCCAAGCACTTTAATAGGGAGGCGAAGAGAAGGAAACAATGTGGTAGAAAAAAAAAGTGTACAAGCAATAGGAATAACTGCACCCTGGATAGGATGATTAAACAAAACCCATTTCAAATTGTGGAGGAGATTCATAAAGAGTGAACTGCAGCTGGAGTCAGTGCTCCAAGAACCACCATGCACAGAAGTATGCAAGACTTGGGTTTCAGCTGTCGTGTTCCTTGTGTCAAGCCACTCTTGAACAAGAGAAGCATCAGAAGCGCTTTGCCTGGAACTGCTGCTGAGTGGTCCAAAGTTATGTTCTCTGATGAAAGTAAATTTTGTATTTCCTTTGGAAATCATGGTCCCAGAGTCTGGAGGAAGAAAGAAGAGTCACAGAATCCACGTTGCTTGAAGTCCAGTGTCAAGTTTCCACAGTCAGTGATGGTTTGGGGGGCCATGTCATCTGCTGGTGTTGGTCCACTGTGTTTTCTGAGGTCCAAGGTCAACACAGCAGTCTACCAGGAAGTTTTAGAGCACTTCATGCTTCCTGCTGCTGACCAACTTTATGGAGATGCAGATTTCATTTTCCAACAGGACTTGGCACCTGCACACGGTGCCAAATCTACCAGTACCTGGTTTAAGGACCATGGTATCCCTGTTCTTAATTGGCCAGCAAACTGGCCTGACCTTAACCCCATAGAAAATCTATGAAGTATTGTGAAGAGGAAGATGTGATACACCAGACCAACAATTCAGAAGAGCTGAAGGTCACTATCAGAGCAACCTGGGCTCTCATAACACCTGAGCAGAGCCACAGACTGATCGACTCCATGCCACACCGCATCGCTGCAGTAATCCAGGCAAAAGGAGCCACAACTAAGTATTGAGTGCTGTACATGTTCATACTTTTCAGTTGGACAACATTTCTAAAATTCTTTTTTTTTTATTGGTCTTAAGTAATATTCTAATTTTCTGAGATCCTGAATTTGGGGTTTTCATTAGTTGCCAGTTATAATCATCACCATTAAAAGAAATAAACATTTGAAATATATCAGTCTGTGTGTAATGAATGAAAATATACAAGTTTCACGTTTTGAATGGAATTACTGAAATAAAAATCAACTTTTTCATGATGTTCTAATTTTATGACCAGCACCTGTATATTCATCTGGCATGGTTTGCAGCAGAAGACATCAGAACCAAACTAAACCAGAACTGTTGCTCAGCTTGACTCCAGATCTGAGGCATAAATTATTCCTTTAATTTGCCCGAGCGCGTTCAAAGACTCCAACTTGTGAATAAATTCTAATATTTACATTCAAGGATCTTTGTTTAAGCAACTGTCTTACGTTTTAACTTGTTTCACGCACATCACATTCTGATCTTTTTCCTTCTTCCCTCCTCCTCATTTCGTTTTCCACTAGAACAGATGGAGTCAAACCCAGGAGGAGGTGCTGGTGGTGGACGATGCTCGAGTTGGAGCTACGGAGATTTTAAGTGTGTTTATGTTTATCCTTTAAAAATGACTGAAAAAGAACTGATATGCAAGTTTCTGCAAATAATTTGCTCTCCCCTGTACCTTTAAAAACAAAACATCCACAAAGTCTGCACAGTTTTAAGGTGCACGTTTAAGTTGAGACTTTTGTAACTGGTTTCAAGAGTAAACAGCAGCAGCAGCACCACGGGGCACAACTGTGTGATGCAGACTTGACAGACGGCAGTGTGAAGTTGTGAAATAAACATAAAAGAGAGAAAAAAATAATAAATTTAAAGTTGTTTTAAAACTGGTCAGAATTGGGTTTTTTTGTGTTTTTTTTTAACCAAACTGATGGTTTGTATCAACACATTACTCTGTTCTTGCCTTCTTTTGGTGTTGGGCCTTTTACAGCCTCTAATGCACATGCTCAAAGTGAATATGTTGTGATGCGTTTGTGGTCTAGAAAGGTTCAAGCAGACTTCTGGTTCTTTAAAATCTACTCAGATTTTAATTGCCATTGGTGTATATTTGTTACCATCACTAACTATGATCTCCATATCCGACAAAAAGTCAGAAGTTATTCTTAAGTTTGTCATTTCTTCTTTGTGTTCATGTTTACGACTGGTTGGAGTGGATCCATCCTTAGTCTAAACCAGGGCTATTCAATTGGCGGCCAAATCAGGCCCACAGGTGAGCTCAGTTCGGCCCACCAATGGGTTCATATTGAAATAAAATAGATTTTAAACCATTAAACAAACTTCATGACAATAACTGCTGGATGTCCGGCCCCTGAGCTCTTGGCTGCAGTAACTGTGCCCCCCTTGAGCAGTTTAGTTGAATAGCCCTGGTCCAAACAGTTTGCAACTTTGCATATTATGGACATTTCACTCTCATAAAATACAATTAAGCTAATCTTTGAATATGTTTGTACATAAAAGTCAATAAAACTCAAGTGGAAAGGACCAAAAGACTAAACTTGAATACAGGAAATAGCTGTAAATTTTTTTGAGCACATTGAGCCCGATTTGTGGCATGCGCATTAGTAAGTGTAAAAAAAAAAAAAAAAGGTCACTTGAAGTCAGCACGGCTTTACAGAAGCTGCCAGGTTGGATTTTTGAAACCAGTCTGTGCACCAGCAACGCTGGGCTTCAAAGTCCTGCCTACACACTATCCTGGTGCCACATGACCTCTTTTAGACATGAAAAAAAAAAAAACTAACGTACTTTTCGCTGTACAAGTCACACCTTTTTGCATAAAATTGCATGCCCTGCCCAGTTTCTCATTCAAGTGTCGGCCAATTTCCCAAAATTAAAGGAAATCAGGGCTGATAATAAAAATAAAATAAAATTTAAAAAAAATCGGCTGGCTGATTTATTGTGCACCCCAAATAAATAAACACACACACACACGCACACACATTTTAAATTTTATTTTTTTTAGATTTTTTTTAAGAGTCACGGTCTCATTTGTTTGGGTTTAACCCTCCTGGGTTTGGACTTTCTTTCTGGGACCAGTCTACTGCTTTAACTTCTGGATCCTGCATGAGGTTCATCTACAAACTGAACTGGTCCAAAAAGTTATCTACAACACGTTGAAACAACTTTTTCTTTACCACCTTTTGTACAGAACCCTACTTCAAAACTATTTCTTCTGTCACAGCTCACACAACAGCTGGTCTTTGTAAAAATTCATTTTCACTGTCTAGCTGGTATTTAAACATTTTTTTTCAATTTGTCTGATTATCTGTTGGATAATGTACGTTTCT